CATATCCTACTTCTGATGAGAAAAGTAAAAATAAAAATAGAATTGTCCAAAGACAAGTTGGAGCTCAAAACCTGAACAGCATGGTTTTGGTTTTAGGCTACCTCCTCCTGACATCACCTTTCTGGCTTAGCTGGTACTTGGTACAGAGCTGTAAGTTCTCCCTGGTGGAGTCTTTGCCTGGCCTCTGTTTGACTCTTGGTAAGGCATGCCCATACTTCTTTTCTTCCCCTATGGAGAAAGCACTATGCATTAAGCTGAAAAGTTACCTTCCAGAATGAGAATGGAATTAAATTTTGGCTCCAGAGCTGTGCAATTATTCAGAACATTTTAAAAATGATTTGTTACAACTAAAAGTTATTACAAATGTGTACATCACAACATGCTTTTAAAGATGCTTTGTATTGTGCTCACATTCCCTTAAATGTTATTCCCAAAGGTGCTCGGCCTCTAGCCCAGCTGGAATCTCTGGGAAGAGGCAGAGACAGTTTGATGAAAAAGACACAAGTTGGGGGTCGAGGGTGGGGAGAGGATGTAGAAGGGAAAAAGCAGCCTTCCGGTTAAAGATCAGCCCTCAGTTTTGAGGTCAGCTTGGGGTAGGCTGGCCCCAGGCGGTGTGTTGGGCTCAAAGGGCAAAGCAGCAGCAGGGCAGAGCTCCGCATCTCCTTCAAGTCAAGCAGAGCCTGGTCCAGCATCTCTTGTGCACAGAGGTGCTCCTCTTGGGTGAGTTCAGCTTATCTTCCAAGTCATCAGTTGTCTTTTCCAGTTTGGCTACTGATCTTTCAGCAAACTCAGCGCGGGTCTCTGCCACCTTGAGTTTATCGGTAAGAATCTTTATCTCTTCCTCATATTTGTCTTCTTTTTGCAAGTACTTTTTTTCAGCAGCACTCAGACACTTCGGGTTCTGGTCCATCAGTCTGATCTGCTCATCCATCTCCCGGCAACGGGACTCTGCCAGCTCAGCTCGTTCCTCTGTGTGTTCCAAATCTCCTTCAATAATCACCAGCATATGAGCCACATATTCATACTTCCTATCTGCCTCTTCAGCAGTGTGTTTAGCTTCTTTAAGCTGGATTTCCTGGAGCTCCATCATTTCTTCATCTTTCAGAGCCTGGTTTTCAATAACCTTTACACCTCTCACTCTCATCGGCAGCTTTCTCACCTTCCAGCTTCTGTAGGTCAGTGGCCAGGCGCTCCTGTGCACGGTTCAGCTCCTCTTCAACCAGCTGGATCCTGCGGTGCAAGGAGGCTACCTCTGCTTCAGCCTGCTCCTGAGCCCATCTTTCTCCCTCCACTTCTTGCTGGAAGCATGTGGCCCTCTTCTCTGCATCATCAGCGTGCTGCTGAAGAACCTGGATCTTGCACTTTACTGCCTCAATGGTGGTGATCCCAGCCATAGTGCCTACCCAGCAACCGCTAGGATTTTGCCCCTGCCTCCTTGGTTAGGCCACTTTTCACCTAATAGAATTCTAAACAGGGAAAAACTGAAAGCTTATGTTCTCAGATCTGGTACAAGACAAGGATGTCCTTTATCACTGCTCCTATTCAATATAGTTATGGAATAATTAGCTAGAGCCATTTAGACAAGGAGAGAAATAAAGGGAATAAGAACAGGTACAAAGGAAGTTAAATTATCATTATTTGCAGATGACATGATACTCTACCTGGAAGACCCAAGAAGCTCCAGGAAGAAGCTACTAAAATTGATGCACAAATTCAGTAGCATAGCAGGATACAAACTCAGTTCCCAAAAGTCAATAGCATTCTTCTACACAGATAACAAACACAATGTGAGGGAAATTAGAGAGACAACATGTGTTACAATAGCACTGAGGAAAAGAAAATACTTAGGCTAAATAAGTAAAAGATCTATTCAAGGACATTTACAGTACTCTGAACATAGAGATCATAGAGGATTTCAGAAAATAGAAAGATATTCCCTGCTCCTGGATAGGAAGAACCAACATTGTGAAGATGGCCATACTCCCAAAATTGTTACACAGATTTGATGCAATCCCTATCAAAATACCAACATACCTCATAGACCTAGAGAAATCATTTCTAAAATTTATTTGGAACCAGAAAAGACCTAAAATAGCAAAGGCAATCCTGGCCAACAAAGACAAGGCAGGAGGCATTATAATTCCTGACTTGAAATTATACTACAAGCATACTGTGATAAAAATCAGCATGGTATTGACAAAAAAAGAGACCTGAGAATCAATGGAGTAGATTAGAAGATGTAGGAGCAGCTACACACTCAGCCACTCTATCTTTGACAAAGGGGCCAAACATGCTTATTGGAAGAAAGATAGCCTCTTTAACAAATGGTGCTGGAAAAGCTGGCTCTCTACAGGCTGAAAACTAAAACTGGACCCAGGTCTGTCACCATGCACTAAACTGAAGTCAAATGGGTTAATGTTTAGATTAAACATTAAAACAGAATCAGAAACATTAAAACAGAAATACTAAATGTTCTGGAAGAGAAAGTAGGAGGAACTCTTGAAGACATAGGGGTAGGCAAAGATTTCATGAACAAAAATCAAATTGCACAGGTAATACTTGAAAGAATTAATGACTGGGACCTCCTCTTTTTGAGAAGTTTTTGCATGTAAAAAGAAATTACCAACAGAGTGAAAAGATAACCCACAAATTTGGAAAAAAATCTTAACTAATAAGCACTCAGACAAAGGTCTTCTCTCTAGAATTTATAAAGAACTAAAAATCATTAGGGCCCCAAAATTTAAAGACCCTGTTCAGAAATGGGCATCTGAGATGAACACATACTTCTCAGAGGAAGAAATTCTAGAAGCTAATAAATATATGAAAAAATGCTCCACATCCATGAAATGCAAATTAGCCATCCATGAAATGCAAATTAAAACAACACTGAGATACCATCTCACCCCAGAAAGAATGGCATATCACTGCTTGTTGCAAAATACCTGTTCTATGTTATGTCTAAAGCATTTGCTATTCAAACAGATACTGATGTTAAGCTCAAATGCTTATTTTGTAGGGTAGTAATATCATTAAGCTTCTCTTTTGGAGGGTTAACAACCTAAGTTTGCAGACTGAAAAATTAGGGAAAAAGAAGGGCTACAAGGGTAGCCAATATTTGGGCCCTCGCCCTTCAAGGTCAGTGAGGACTCAGGACATGAGAACCTGTATTGTAACATCCTATAACTCAGTGGTGTCCCAAATTTTCTGATAATGGGGCCACAGAGGAAAGTGATCGATGATGTATATAGTGGGCCTAAGGAGAGTCAGCTAGAGAGAAAACACTCTCAGGGTTTCACAGAGAGAAAATTGGTGAAGCAATGGCTGTAACTCATCCACATGGCTGACACTGACAAACCCTGAGGGGATTTGACTGACCTTACCAAATATAAAAGTTACATTTTCAGTTATATAGGTCTTGCTTTATCTTGGTCTTAACCATTCAACAGAAAAATATAAACACGAAGTATAAAAAGTAAAGCCATATTAATCTGCTGAGCTGTAAAAGGCTCAAGTCAACAACTTCTGACATTACCAGTTCCATGGATAATCCACTACTATAATGGATTATTGGAGTATATTGGATTATTTTGTTGAATTCATGTACCTACTATATTTGGATGGTAATGAAATATCCATCTCTGACAAAACTAAGCAAAAAAAAAGGGATATAAATAAATGTCCATTTTGTAGTGAACAAAATATATGTATATACAAAATAGTATAGATATACAGCTACTTTATCTTAGTTCAATGAGAAGAAATACTTATACTAGTAGTGTTTATGCAAGATATCATGTCTGCATCTCGTACTCTGAATAACTACTATGAAGACAACAATATGCAATGTGTTAATTATTGTGGCTGTCCCACTAACCTGTTTTGAAACTGTCTCATTGCTGTTTCTTTCTCAATAAAATTAATACTAAAAAGAGATTGAGATAATTCAAGATGACCTAAATATTATACTATAAAGTACTATAGTACAATTATGCCTATTAAGGGAGCTAAGGCATAGGCACAAGGACTAAAATTCTTGAGCAAATTCTATGCAGCCTGTGCTATAGACCTTTGCTGTCAGCACCCTAGATCACTCCTGTTTTGGTAATCAGATTTTCTCTCAGGAACTGATTCTGGGTTTAGATAGTAAACAGCCTTGACCAGTGCAATGTGGCAAACATAACTCAGTCAGAGACTCTAAGTGGGTACTGCATCTTGCCCATCTTTCTGATCCTGACAACTGTGTGATTTCCATGTTGTCCACTTTACTGCCATCACTGCTATCAGTAGCCAGCCAAAGCAGTCACTAACCAGAGCCAGGCCTAGGGTCCCCTGACCTAGTCCCATGGCTCATGTGCAGTCCTTCAGCCAGCTATGTCCAAGACCAGCACATGAAACATTTGGCTGAGCTGTTCACAAGAGCCGCATCCACACTGTTCATTCTCAGAAGGGAGGCAAAAATGGATTGCTGTGTTAGATAGTTATTTTGAGGCGGTTTGCAGATCTGATGAAACAAGAATAGCACTATGCATTTCCACTCACAATCTTAATCCTGAGGACTATATTTTGGGTACTGTTGCTATCATTTTAAGCACCGGGAAACTCATCTACAGAGAGGTTGTTACTGTCCTTGGAACACACAGTTAATAAGAGGCCCAGCAATCTTAAGAAGTCTGATGCCAGAGAGTATGTTCATATTGACTAAAATATTTCTTTATGAACAGTGATTGGAAGCTTTTCTCCCCCACAAACTTTTTCTTTGTTAGATCTGGAATTCATGAGAGAATAAATGAGGAGTCATATTACAGTGGACTATGAAAACCGTGTACGCTACTCTCCACTCATTTCCTCTATCATATCATAGGTGCTGATACTAGGAATGGACAGCAAACCTTGTATCCTGACATAAAGGCATGTGAGCTTCACATGCTTATTCAAGATGAAAATCGATCCCATCAACATACACAGACCTCAGCGTTGAGGACGTGCTCAAGGTCTCTTACTTTGAATCTGCAAATGCTGCTTCCAGTTGATGACTTCAGGGGAGCCAAGGAGCTCCTGGCTTTGCTTTGGATCCTTGGAGTAGATTAAGTAAGTGTTGGTGTAGTGATCGAGGTCATCGGTCATTTCCTGTGTGAGGAAAAGGGGAATCAATCCGTGTTTGTAATTAGTGATGGTTGTAATGACATTCAGCCTTCTATTATATCATGACTTTGTATTATGTTAGCATTTTCTGTTGTTTTTTTTGTTTTCACTTAGGAATTATTTAAATTATGTAGGTTAATGAAGGTCTCATATTCAGTTGAAAGTTAAAAACAAAATCCTGAATGTAATTGTTGGAAACTCAGCTAATGTGTTGAAAATTCAAAATAATCTAGTTAAAATCATTTGTGATACTTCCAAAATTCTTAAATGAAGAATCAAAATAATAATTGAATAGCAAGATAATGAGTCAAAAGAGTAAGTCTGGTACTGGGCTATACGTATGTTCTTATTAAAATCTACAGATGTTGGGCCAGGGAGATGGCTCAGTAGAATAAGTGCTTCCCTGACGAGCGCAAGGGTCTGAATTCAATTGCTCCCCCCAAAAAAGAAAAGAAAATCTACAGAAGTTACAGAATTAGAATATCATTTACAAAAGGGAGAAATAAAGAAAAAGTTGCTGACTAGCCCTTTCTTTAGAAAAAATGACTTCGCACTTTTAAATGACCTACAATAACATCAAACATATTTATATATATATGTATATCTAGCAAGTGTCTCAAACACAGAGGTCACTTCAATAGGAAGAGACAGATAAGGGGAAAAATGACAACCTCTTAGCATCAGAAAGATCTTTCCTTCAATATTAAGAGAATATTAAAAATATACTTCCTACTCAGCAATGACACTAAGCATCAAAATAGCAATTTTCTTCTCGAGCCATTAAAAATCCATGCTTTTAGCATCCAGTATTAAATTTCTACTAAGAAGAAATTCTGATACTTTAGTAACATGTGCCACCTGGGACTATCTTAATCTTCTTGATTGATTAATTGTGTGGTAGAGAGTTGGCTACAATGAAGTTAGGCCAATATTGAGTGAGGGTGTTTTACGTTAGCAGACACTATGATGTCAAGGCCAGTGTTTTTAAAAGCAGGAAGTACATTTTTCCTTTAGACTAATATTTGAAAATGGAACTGAGTCTGATTTATTGCAATATAGAAATCTAGCCTAGGACACGTGCTCTTAATGTCTCTAGCAAACAATAAGACTTGTCTATGTCATTAGTAAGATCTTAAATTGGAAAATACTTCCAATTTTTGCCTCTTATTCCCATGAACTGAATGCAAGACATAACAAGTTTGCTTTTCAGGTCAGCAGATGCCAGTTGGAGGACTGTCTCATGAACAAAATAATGTGTGAGTGTGAGAGTGCTCAGCACATGCCCTCAAAGTCTCCACTTCCAAAAGGTGGCCGCATCCAGGGAGCGCTGTGGTGGCCGTTGGTGCATTGATAGCTGACTGTGACGCCAGGCCTGGGTGGAAAGGAGGGCCCCTGGGGTCTGACCTAGAAGGCGGTGCTCTTGGCACTGTGTCCTCCCCTCTCTCCCTGCTTCCTGCCTGCTAAGAGCTGGGCAGCTCCTTCCCCGTGCCCTTCCACCATGCTGGTCATGCCATGGGGCCAGGCAAGCATCATCTGGTTCCTCTGAAACAGTAAGCCAGAGTGAATAGTGCCTCCCTTGTCAGTGTGGGGCCTTGCATTCAAGGGAAAAGGAGGTGACGGATACAGCTGCCCTTGCATCTTCTGTGCATTGCTATTCCTCCCCCTCACACAATGCTATAGGTAGTCTGCAGATTTCTCTAGATTCTCCTCCAGCCTGCACTTCTGAGGACAGGGACTCACTAGCACTCCGCTGAGCCATTGGCGTTTCTCAGGGGCCTACCTCGTACCTGGCCCAGGGCAGCAGCGCAACACAGAGAAGCAGAGGACGTGTTCATCCCCCAGCTGGCGACTCACCTGCTCCTGAGGACGGACCACCACAGTGTTATAGTCAGGCCATGCGTCCACCAGGGCCTTCAGCTTGAACGGGTTTCCCTGGTTCATGTGGAAGACGGTCCCATAAACCTGCAACATTGCAACAGAAGAGAGGCCGTCTCATGACAGACAGGGCCGGAGAGGCTCTTCCTGCACCAGAACGGAGTGTTTTTCCCGATGGAAGCATATGATTGACTCAAAAGCAGCAGGGAAACAACGGTATCAATTTTCTTCTAAGATCTGTTTCTTTACTGCAATTTAAATGTCATATAAAATATGAAGACCAACACAACTCACAAATATTGTTGACTGTTATAGAAATTAGTACACTCTTTTTACAGATTTCCCTCTATCTGTACCCAAAATAAATTTCTAAAAGCTAAAAAATAAACATATATGTCTTCACTCATTGAAAATGTCTTTTCATGTTTGTTCATTGAAGTCTTCTCATGATTGTTTTTAAAATCTTGGATTATTCTGATAGCATATGTGTTAATTACTATTCTTCATTTAAATGAAATATTTTCTCTTCTTAAAAGTTATTAAATTGGCTCTCTGATTTATTGGATATTATGTAATAAATTCGGGGTCTTATTTAAATTTTGTTTTGGGGCTTTCTCTGTGCCTCTGTGGCCGAGGAAGGGCATCTGGCCTCTCACTGTTGGAAGTTAGAAGTGGACTGCATGCTTCTCTTTCCTACCTTTTGGCACCTGAGGGAAATTGGCTGCACCATATTGTGGGGTGTCCCACAGGCTCCCCTTGTGCACACAGTGCAGTCCTCGCATGGAGGGGCAGGGGTCCCCGTTGTGCTCCTCAGGTGCCCTCCCAGAGGCCATCTAGGCTGTGGGGCTCCCTCATGCTGAGCCTAATGAGAGTCCAGAGTCCTCACTAGGCCACCATGCAGAGGAGCCAGCAAGAGGAGCCTGCTGTGTTCCAGAGCTTGGTGTCCAGGCTTCCATTCAGCCTTTGTTGGTGGAGCTGCACTGCTGGGTTTCTGTGGTGCTGAGTTTCCTCCCAGTGTACAGGTCCTGTGTAGAGGTTACCAGGCTCCTGTTGTCTTAGGCCACTGACTAAGGTGAGTAGGGTTTTCTTCTGGGTGTATAGCTGAGAGGCAAGGAATAGCTAGCAGCCCAGCTTCAGCAGTGTCTATGGGAGGTGTGGAAACAAATGTGCACTGGAACAGATGCCCCTGCCTACTCCAGCTTCCTCTTTCTATATTTTTAGGTCTGCTTACATGCACGCACACACACACACACACACACACACACACACACACACACAAACACACACCCTCTTGAACTCTCTAGTACATGAATGATTAAAAGCGCACTATAATTTCCTTTTCTGTTCTTTTCTTCTTATTTTCCATCACAGGCTGCAGCAGGAAAAGTAGCTCACCGTTCTGCTCCACAGAGCCTGGTGCACCCTGCACGGACCAGCTCAGGTCCCTAAAGCATTGGTCTGAGCCTCCATGGCCTCCTGGCATTCACGGGGGCAGGCGCTGCGTGGACGGGGGGATAGAGAGGGTCTTGGGACCTCAAAATCCTCTTCCTGCACGTGCCATACGAGGCCCAGGCAGAGCCCTGATGGCGGCCTTCTGCTTGTTCCTTTCCAACCACAGCGCCCAATCTCCTCCAAGGTGAGAAGCCAGCCCGCCCCTGCTCTCCTCGTGCTGCATTGTGTCCTGCTCTTACCCTTGTTCATGTTTGTATGATTGTCTTCACTTTGCGACGTGGACGCACTTGCACTCGCTGAAAACACATCTTGGACCCCCCTTTGTCATTCCCTTCTGCGGCAACATTTCCCCAAAACTATGGTGCAAAATTGTAGTTGGAACACTGGCACTGATAGAGTCAGGGTACACACCGTTCTCAACGGCACGGGGACCCTTGTGCTGTCCCTGTGTATGTTTCTCCTACTCTTTTGACTCAAGCACTCCTGAACCTTTGGTAACCAGTTTTTGTGTCCTGTATCCCTGTAAAGTTGCAGCTGCAAGAATGTTTTATGAACGGAATCATACAGTCTGTAAGCTTTTAGGAATTTGCCCCTACTCAGTGTACTTTTCTGGGGATACATTCATCTATCAGAAATATCAAGAGTTGATTCCTTCTACTGCTCAATATTTTTCTACAATATGGACATTATGAAATATGACTTCACATTCTGGAAGCTATCTGAGCAATTTCCAGCTCAAGCTATTTTATTTGAAGCTCTCGTATATATTTGTGCATTTTTATC